GGACAACTTGAAGTCGCTCTATGCGATGTAATGTATTACCCGCGGTGGACCAATATAAATGCTGAGAGAAGAAATAATGAGTTATTAATAAATAATAAAGAACACATTATACCTGATGGGTATTACAGCGTATGCTCACTCAATGATGAATTTTTTAAGCCTTTGGGAGTTAGTCTCACACAAATGAGTCGAATGGGATGCTGATTTTGAACTCTGGAGAAAAGAGTATAATTCATAGCAGATACACTTGCACTTGCAAACGGATTAGGAGTAGAAGTATTAGCCCCCAACAGAACAGGGCATGTAAACTACCGTCCAAAAGAAACTTGGCAGCCTGTTTGAAGTTCAATAGCGAAACAACACCAAAACATAAACGATCCGAATAAACTGTATTGTAAACATGAATATTTACCACAACCTTAGGCATAAAGTCATAACTATAACATGACAAGCGAATAAAATAAGGCTGGTAATGTTCAGGTGGGGTATGCAAAACAGTTTTTCCAGTACACGTGCAAATGACTAGCTCTGCACAAAATGACTACAGATGGTGTTTGTGTCACCCTAGTAGCGTGTGTGACCTCCATTGGCTTGAATGCAGGCAAACACTCTCCTACGAACTGAATTTTTCAGTCGCCTGATGACGTCACGTGGGATGCGTCGCCATTCTTCGTGGAGGGCCTGGATGAGTTCATTCCTGGAGGTTGTTGTCGTCGTCGAATTTGCCTGTCCATGAAATCCCAAAGGTGCTCTATGGGATTAAGGTCTGGTGAACGAGCTGGCCAGGGCAATACACGGAAATTGTTGACTATAGAAAGTTTTGCACGATGTTAGCAGTATGTGGCCTAGCATTGTCATACTGGAACACAATACCCTGTGGTTGTTGACGAAGAAATGGAAGCACAACAACACGTAAAACCTCATCCCTGTAACGTACGACATTCAAGTTACCGTTAATGATGACCAATGGCGTCCTCTCATCAGCACAAATGCCACCCCACACCATGACACTCATACCACCGAAGGGTGCGACCTCTTTGACACAACAACAAGCAGTACGTTCGCCTCTTCGACGATACACGAGGTGTCTGCCATCAGAATTGAACATACAGAACCTACTCTCGTCAGTGAAGAGGACACGCTGCCAATCACGCCGTTGCCAACGCCTAACTGTTAGCGCCCATCTCAGTCTTCGATGACGATGTTCATTCTTCAACAGTTGGCCTCTGTAAGGTCTATAGGCCCTTAGTCTTCTGGCTATTGTCTACCTGCTGACCACACGACCCAACGCATTCGCTGCAGATAATGTCACAGGTAGGAATCGATTACGCAGGTGCAATGTGCGTAGGTAGAGATCTTCATGGGTCGTGGTCACCCTTGGTCTGCCTGTTCTTGGCCTGTCTGATGTACGACCTGTTACTCTCAATCGCTGGACCAAGTTGACAACGGTATTACGGGAGCAGTTGAATGTTCTTGCAACATGCGACTGTGTTGCCCCCATTTGCAGCATTCCTATAGCCCTCTCACGCTGTTCTTGTGTTAACCTGGGCATTCCTTTGGTGTTTTTTCTTCAAACTGCATCTCTAAGAGATAAACTTCGCAGTTTTTATAGCGATTGTTCACGTGCAATTTAAAAAAAACGTGAATAATGATTTTACTTCCAAAATCACTTTCCCACAACACGTGCACTACACTTCAGTAATTGCACGAGTTTTTATTCAATGGGTTTAGGCGACTGATTTTGGCTTGGTTGCGTTTGGGTGAAAGTATCTGTATTTCAATCATTTCATTTTTCGAGTTGCCAAGTTTTTTTTGGACGTCAGTTTAGTTAAATTACACATCAAGACGAAAAAGTGTGTTAGTCATCCCCCTGCCAAAAAACCCAGGTCATGTAGTAAAAAATGTTAGTTTAAATTTGGTTCCTGAATTCAACGATATTAAACAGAACTTGAGTGCAATACCTAATCTTTCTACACTTATTATTGAAGTCTTGTTCTGAAGTGCACCGGAAGATGCCTTCGAAATATTACCAGGTCTATCGATTAAATGGTCAAAGAAACATCAACGTCAACGTTGCAGTATTATTCATATTGGAGCATCACATGTTGCAACCCTTGAGGGGGTTCAAATTATTAAAAGTGACAGCATTTCTCTTACTAAGATATTCATGCCGTATAATATACATTTGATAAGGTTGATGTATACTCTCAAAACATTTAAGCAAGACCAATTAAAGACTATTGTATGATATAATAATATACACTATGGGTTTATATCCCACGCTCGATGAGGCATCTGAAAAGATGGAAACTGTTGATCGATTTCGATTACATCGAATAAGTGACATAAAACATCGAATAGAGAAGGAGAGGGAGTTTAGACTTGGATTGCATAACCGTGAATGCTCTCGACGGAGTTGATACCGCGCTCGTAACATGCTTGCATGGGTCTCGGTGTAGCCGGTGTTGGTTTATTATCAACTATAATCACCGCGCCTATCAAATAACCGCCGGAGTCTCAGGACTGGCAGGAATAGCGATAAAATTCATTTATCGTAGGTTGCAAAAAAAGCATTAAAACATGATAATAATCCGATACTCGGCGAAGCAAAGCTGAACAGCATTGAGGATCATATTTCAACAGCAATGGCTGATTGTAAGATATCCGAGGAGGAGTTTCATTTTGTGTTGTCGGAACTCACCAAATACAATGTAATGAAGCAGGAGATTCGATCAAATTCTCGTAAGACCAGTGGTATTAGCGAAGACGAGAAAAAAAAGTTCATAGAACAGGGGAGACAACAAGCGCGTCAATTATTCCGTGCCAAAACCAAAGAACTGGTTGGAGATTAAAAACAGATTGCTTACTATCATTAGATCACACCGCATTAAATATCATTCATTCATTTAAACGAATGCTTACACAAGTATATAATAATGGAGAATTACAAACCAACAAAGGAAGAACTCAAAAATGCTATCGAAGCATCTATGCTCAGGGACAAAAATATCAAATGGAGAGAATTACCACAAGGTATATATTATATCAGTAATGTCAAACCAATCAAATACGGTCATCAATTGTTTCTTTCCAGTTACCAAGAAGAGTATATAGTCTGGTCTCCTAGTAAAATGAACGAAGAACTTAGTAAAAATGTTGAATATCACTTCGTTAAAAATAATGGTATACATATGAATAAAAATAATAGAGAATATTTGCATTACAATTTAGTTTAATCTCATGACGATTGTTGAATCGCAAAATCAATTTTGCATAAAAAAATTCCATCTGTAGTAGCAGTATAGGTTTATAAATCTAACTCCAGTGGAGTTGCGGCAGAACCCCCATTACCTATACTACTTGTTGGAATCTCTAGAAATGATTTTAAACACAGAAGAATGTTTTATCGTGAAATACACTAAACCTCGTCCCTCGTTGTTCTTTGCGTAGCTCTCTTATCTATAAAGACATACAAATTGTATTACATCGTTAAACCCAACTCACTCACTCACTCACTCTTGTTTGCATTTTGTACCAAATACTTCCCACGAAGCGGGCCACTGTTCTGTGAAACGATTGTCTCTGTAAGGTATGCATGTGTTAATTAGGGGTGACTATTGGTCTGGAAATCACTATTGCAATAACTATTGATATTGAAAGAAACTATTGCGATACCTATTGATATTGCAAGCAAATATTGCGATAAATATCAATAGTTTTCAGTGTATCAATTTAGATGGATTTTAGAGTTGAATTAAATATTGGAACTGAAGTTTCCTTTGAATGTGATAACAATAACAACAAATAAAATGTAAAGTTTGAGATATGACTGATTTGGGTTTTTTTTACCCTAATAATTTAAGAAAAAGAAAATTCATATGTAAATTACTACCACTCATGATCAAAAGAAAAACAAATTTGTACAGCATTGCATGTAATTAATTGTATTTAATACAATCAAAACTATCAATATACCTATCTGAAATCGATACTATTGATCGGAAACTGATTTAACAATCGATTTATTGACTTTAAGTGCTTCCCAATAGCAATATATCAATATTTCGATTAATCGTGACACCCCTAGTATTAATGCACTTTCCCATCTTTTTTGATCAGGGTTTGACAAGTCGTTCACAAAGAAGGCATTTTACTTATATTAGGATTAACATGTACGCTTATCTCGTGAAGGCTGAAACAATGTTTTCAATCGTTGCTCCGCATCATACATAAACCAGTATATCACGAATGTGCTTTGTTGTCTAATATTGAGAACATATGTTTGTGGTGTGGAATTCGATGCTAATGACTATTTGAGTATTTATCACAGTCAATCCTTAAATATGTCACGATTACACCCTCTGGAAACACAAATCATACTTGCAGAAATCCCGATGAAGAGTGAAGGGTTCATGTATGTTGAATGGCTGTGTCATCATGTGTCACCAACATTATATTACTTGCGTACAACATACAAACAAACACTACCTTTATTATGACAACAGTGATAGGTGCTACTCGTTGGGTGGGCAAGCCATGTTTACCCTTAAGCGAAAATCTGGTGTCATGGCAGATGTTCTGTCTTTTACGTCATGCGGAATCTGGATTGGAAGGCATTGATATCTGGCGTTGATGTTTTGAATTGAACTGGTTGATCAATGAGTCGGAACTGTTTGCTTATCATTGATTAATTGGGTAGTCGGGACTGAATAAAACAAGCGTGCCTTGCAATCATGTCAATATAGTTTTACTGCTGCAATAATTGTGGCACTCATGTCGTTTTGCTATCTTTCACCGATATTATATATTTTGTTCTCTTTTGAAACGATGCAAATATATTCCCTATGAAATTGATCTAACTGACAGACATTGTGATCATATTTAGGGCACATAATAATTACCCTGAAAATTAAAACTTAGACAGAAATAGTCAATCTCCAGCATTTGCATTTGACTGAAGATCAACTGACAAAATGATGTAATTCATAATCCATTGAGTAGTGGGTATAAGACTGTTTGCATTCTCTTTCACAGGGAAAAGTTCCAGCTTCTTAGACAGGGAAATTCGAATGGTACTTGTAGGAAAGACTGGAGTTGGTAAAAGTGAAACAGGGAATACAATAGCTGGAGCCGGAAATGTGAAGAAGATATTCACCTCATTGGCAAGAGCAATGTCTGTTACAAAGAAATGTAAACAGCATTCCTTTAAACGCTTTGATTACGACTTGCAGCTTGTTGATGTCCCAGGTTTTTGCGACACAGGAAGATCACACGACGATATCAAGGAAGAGATAATGAAATGTGTAGCTATGTCATCTCCTGGAATACACGCCATTCTTTTCATCGTGAAGATAGGAAGGTTCACTGAAGAGGACATTAATACACTTGAAAGATTCCTGCGCTGCTTTGGAGAAGAATCAAAACGATTTGTGATTGTTGTATTTACTGGAAAAGATGACTTGGATGCGGATAATGATACTCTTGAAAACCACGTAGCTGACTGCCCAGTGACACTGAAGAAGTTTTTATTTGATGTAAATCATCGATGTATTTCTGTCAACAACAGGGGGACGGATGCAGAGAAGGAGAAGTTTACCAGAGACCTGATAGTCATGATACAAAGCATGGTTAATGGCAACGGCGGCAAGTGCTACACAAACGAGATGTATGAGAGGTGTGAAGCTATTCTTCGAGAAGCTGAGAAGATAGAAAAACTTGAAGGGAAGAGGCAGAAGCATTTCGAGGAGAAACTTAAGCAAGTATCTGCTGCCTATGAAGAAAAGTTACAGAGCCAGAGTTTAAAAATGCAAGAAATGGAGAGACAACTCGAAAAGACCGAAAGAAAATCAAGGGATACAACAGATGAAAGAAATGAGATGAGAGAACGACTGAAAGCCTTACAGCTGGCAAATGTAGAAGAAAAGAAGAAAGCTCTGGAAGAAGAAAAGAAACAGATGGCTGAACAAAAGGAGGCAGCTGCAGAGGAAGATATGAGGAGAGACGTTCAGAAGCTGAAAGATGTTCAGAGAACCATGAGGGAAGAACAAGAGAGTATGAGAGAAGAAATGCGACAAGAAGAAGTTCGGAAACAGATACGAGAGAAAGTTGAAGAGGACAACATTGAATTCCTTGGAACTACTTTTAGATTGATAAAGAAAGTGTTCACTTCATTCTTCTAGGTCTATGATAAAGATCTACAAAATGTAGATTTTCAGTGATTCATTACTATTTTGCCTTTGAGGTGAAATCTGAATTGCAGTTAATCAAGACTGATGATTCTCAGACGTCGATGTTACTTTATTATATATTCAACAGAATAGATTGTGGTTTATATTCCTAATATAAATTCCTGCAGTTCCAGCGTTTGAGGCTGACATTTCAAAAAACGTGGGGATAATCGAGCATTGCTCCTCATTCGAAGATTGCAAAGAGCGTCACACGACTCTTGCTAAAAAGTCTTTAAATTAGGATTGAAATGAGGAACATTTGTGGCTGGGTTTATTGACTTCCACAATAGTTACATAGCAGCAGGGTTGTTTTTCATTAAAAAAATTCAGGCTCAGGGTTTCATGGTTTTCAATATAAATGTTTTATCTAGCTTTGTAGCTGTATCTGAAAAAATATATATCTAATCTTGATATAAAATACCAGACCCTCCCCTTCCTCACGCTTTTACTTAAATATCCATGTGCATGCAAGTGTTCGCGCGCACATTCGTGTTTGTGCTTGTACCTGTCAAGACTTATGCTGGTTTTATAGTACTAGCAACAGTTTAACATGGATACCCCACTCTGGCTTAGTAAACTGACTATGAACCGATCAGTGTGTGTTATATAACCAGTTAATGCTGAGTGCCAAGCATGGTAGCAACTTTTGGTATGGCGCGGCGAGCCGATTGAACCAATGACCTTACGCTCTCATCACAGACTCTATATCCACTAGACCACAGCGCAAACATGTCATCATGCTCCGAAAATCGGTTCTTCCAGCCCTATATATCACACCCTAAGTCATGATTCAGTGCCCTCCATCGCGTGGTCTTCAGCCCAATCCAAATGTCACTGTCTGTGATGTCGAGTCAGTTGCATGCGAATGCATCCCCTCAGTGAACGGAGACCAGCCTCACGGAGACGATTGTGCACTGTTTGAGTACAAACGTTAAAACCACTGGCGTTCCGCAGATCATTCCTGACTGAGGTGGCAGTCATGAAGTGATTATGTGTTCCTGCTGTGTGGTGGAACTCTGTTCCATGTCGCAGGGTATCTGCAGCTGGTATCTGCCTAATTCTTTGGTTGTCAAGCGACTTCTTTGAGGGGGCATAAGTGAATTCGGTTGTTGCAAACCCAGTAGCAAATGTCGATGTGCTCTCTGATAATGATGTGCACAGATTCTGTCACAATACGAATAAACGCTCGTTTTCAAACACCTCATGCACATCTTGCCAATGACTGCATGCCTCTGTACATGAGATACTTTAGGGGTAATCCAATCATTGTGTACAGGGATATTACAATGTTAATTTGTCGGATGATATTATTTTAATATATATCATCAAAACTAAATCCTTAGCAAACTTTAAGTAGTATAAATCAAGAGCGGTTAAATGTTAAACAATGTGTTGAGTTTCATTGTTTTTGATTTTCTTCTCATTTAAAGATTACTTTGTTAAATAAATTTATAAAAAATGTCTTTTACGTTTCTGATTGCCTGAAGGCAGTTTATAGCATCAGCGATATGTGATGTGATCTACGTTCGCATTATTGGACAATATCGCGATTGTGTCAGAAATAGTGATACTATGACCAAATTAAATGACACCCCAAGGGAGCATAACCACAATATTGGACGTATTTGAAGTTGTAAATGTCAAAACCAACTCCGATAGTTTGAATCAAGAATGTTAGCCCTCACCAATTTCACTCTTCCTCTGGCTTACATTGTCAGTCAAGGCCAACTAATATTTTTACTTATTAAACTCGATATTAAACTCAAGGACATGAGAAAGTCACCAATTTTCAAAGCCACAAAATAACAAAGCTATGTTTTATAACGGTCATTGATGTTTTTTTAAAAATGGGTAATTTACGAAATGTTTGCATAAACACTGACAAATCCAGTGGTTTATCAATATGTTTTGAATAGAAAGTTAACTGTCTAATATTCGATCACTAATAAAAATGAACCGCCACTTTCAAAATGTTAGCTTTATCTGGCGTGTCCTCCCCAAGCTTTGATGCCGGCTGTGACACGGTGCTGAGCAGAGAAAGATCGTCGTCTAAATGCGAGGTCAGGGATCAGATGGCATTCTGTCTGTAATGCCTTAGCTAACGCCACTCCTGTCTCACGGCGTGGCTAAGGTTGCCTAATCTGTCGTCCCAGGTGATCCCACAGATGTTCGAGACCTGTTGAGGGGTCTTTCCGGCCAAGGAAGTAGTTCACGTTGTTGGAGTTGAACAATGTTCTGGTAATGTGGGCTGTATGTGGGTGAGTTGGAGAGATATGGCAGTACACTGATGTAGCGTGCAGCAGTAAGATTGCCATCATTGACAACCAGATCCGTCTTCAGGTCTCTGCAAATCCCATCCCAGACAGTCACACTGCCACCACCGTCATGTTCAATTTGCCTGGCCGCCGGTAAATAAGCTCGATATTCCTCGTCCACCTCATTCTCTGACGTCGATGTTCACGCGATAAGGTCATGCCCTTGAACCGTCGGTAGGCTTTCAAACCATAGTGACGAAGTCGTCTGGACACGGTCTTTCTGTTGATTGGATGATCAAGGGCATGTTCTCCCGATGTCGTCACTGTGAGGTATCTGTTCCTAAGGTGAAGCAGTCGTTAATTTTGGTCTTCCTGAAGGTTGTAACTCGGGGTCCACCGTTCCTAGGCCTGTCTGCTGATCCACCTGTCTGCCTAAACCGGCTGACTAACCTCGAGTATCGTCCTTCTCGAACAGTCCATTACCTCAGCAACATGGGCCTGAGTTCACCCTTGTTTTAAACCAAATTTGCATACGGGTATTTATGCAGGGGTTATGCCTGTTTCCTAGCAATGAGGGCATTATCACAACCAGCACATGCATTCTGCGCATGTCAGTGAAAGGAATGAATAAATCGCGTTTTGCCGATACGTTTAAATCTATATTAAAAGGTGTTTTGACATTGGTTGAAAATACAATGCACATATATTTGAGGTGACGTTTTTTTCGTCCTTGAGTTTTAAACAATATTTATCAAAAACTTCCAACACACTTTCCTTGAACCTTAGGGAACGGACTTATAAACTTATCACGGATATTGACCATTGTCTTCGACGTTACTTGCTTTTGCATGATAAACACTTTTACTTTTTGATGGTAAGACCTGATCCCAGTTATGACGTTTTACTTTTTCTTGTAAGACCTGATCAGTTTTGTGTGTTTGTGTGTTTGTTGTTTAACGCCGCACTCAGCAATATTCCAGCTATAGGACGGCGGGCTGTAAATAATCGAGTCTTGACCAGAAAATCCAGTGATTGATATCATGAGCATCGATCCGCACAATTGGGATACGATGATATGTATCAAGCAAGACAGCGAGCCTGAACACTCGGTCCCGTTAGTCGCCTCTTCCGACAAACATTGTCGCCTTTTACAGCAAGCATGGGTTGCTGAAGACTTATTCTAACCCGCATCTTCGAGGGGAGAGACAAGCATGGGTTGCTAAAGACATATTCTTACACGGATCTTCACGGTGGCAGACAACTATGGGTTGCTGAAGACCTTTTCTTACATAGATCTCCACGGTGGGAGACAAGCATGGGTTGCTAAGGACCAATTCAACCAGGGATCTTCACGGTGGGAGAAAAATATGGGTTGCTGAAGATCTTTTCTTACAAGGATCTTCACGGTGTGAGACAAGCATGGGTTGCTGAAGACATATTCTACCCTGGATCTTCACGGTGGGAGACAAGCATGGGTTGCTGAAGAATTTTCTAACCTGGATCTTCACGGTGGCAGAAAAGCATGGGTTGCTGAAGACCTATTCTTACACGGATATTCACGGTGGGAGACAAGCATGGGTTGCTGAAGACCTATTCTACCCTGAATCTCTACGGGGGGAGACAAGCATGGGTTGCTGAAGACATATTCTACCCTGGATATTCACGGGGAGAGACAAGCATGGGTTGCTGAAAACCTATTCTTACAGGGATCTTACGAGGGGAGACAAGCATGGTTTGCTGAAGACCTATTCTTACAAGGATCTTCAAGGTGGGAGACAAGCATGGGTTGCTGACGACCAATTCTACCCTGGATATTCACGGGGAGAGACAAGCACTGGTTGCTGAAAACCTATTCTTACACGGATCTTACGAGGGGAGACAAGCATGGGTTGCTGAAGACCTATTCTTACGCGGATCTTCACGGGGGGAGACAAGCATGGGTTGCTAAGGACCAATTCAACCAGGGATCTTAACGGTGGGAGAAAAATATGGGTTGCTGAAGATCTATTCTTACAAGGATCTTCACGGTGTGAGACAAGCATGGGTTGCTGAAGACATATTCTACCCTGGATCTTCACGGTGGGAGACAAGCATGGGTTGCTGAAGAATTTTCTAACCTGGATCTTCACGGTGGCAGAAAAGCATGGGTTGCTGAAGACCTATTCTTACACGGATCTTCACGGTGGGAGACAAGCATGGGTTGCTGAAGACCTATTCCACCCTGAATCTCTACGGGGGGAGACAAGCATGGGTTGCTGAAGACATATTCTACCCTGGATATTCACGGGGAGAGACAAGCATAGGTTGCTGAAAACCTATTCTTACAGGGATCTTACGAGGGGAGACAAGCATGGTTTGCTGAAGACCTATTCTTACAAGGATCTTCAAGGTGGGAGACAAGCATGGGTTGCTGACGACCAATTCTACCCTGGATATTCACGGGGAGAGACAAGCATTTGTTGCTGAAAACCTATTCTTACACGGATCTTACGAGGGGAGACAAGCATGGGTTGCTGAAGACCTATTCTTACGCGGATCTTCACGGGGGGAGACAAGCATGGGTTGCTGAAGACCAATTATAACCCGGATCTTCACGGTGGGAGTCAAGCGTGGGTTGGTGAAGAGCTATTCTTACACGGATCTTCACTGTGGGAGACAAGCATGGGTTCCTGAAGACCAATTCTACCCTGGATATTCACGCGGACAGACAAGCATGGGTTGCTGAAAACCTATTCTTACAAGGATCTTCACGGTGGGAGAAAAGCATGGGTTGCTGAAGACCTATTGTTACACAGATGTTCAAGGGGGGAGACAAGCATGGGTTCCTGAAGACCTATTCTACCCTTGATCTTCACAGGGTGGAGACAAGGATGGGTTGCTGAAGACCTATTCTTACATGGATCTTCACGGTGGGAGAAAAGCATGGGTTGCTGAAGACCTATTGTTACACAGATGTTCAAGGGGGGAGACAAGCATGGGTTCCTGAAGACCTATTCTACACTTGATCTTCACAGGGTGGAGACAAGCATGGGTTGCTGAAGACCTATTCTTATATGGATCTTCACGTGGGAGACAAGCATGGGTTGCTGAAGACAAATTCTACCCAGGATCTTCACGGGGGAAAACAAACATGGTTTGCTGAAGACCTATTCTACCCTGGATATTCACGGGGACAGACAAGCATTGGTTGCTGAAGACCTATTCTTACAAGGATCTTCACGGTGGGAGATAAGCATGGGTTGCTGAAGACCAATTCTACCCTGGATATTCACGGGGAGAGACATACATGGGTTGCTGACCACCTATTCTACCCTGGATATTCACGGAGTGGAGACAAGCATGGGTTGCTGAAGAGCAATTATACCCTGGATCTTCATGGTGCGAGAGAAGCATGGGTTGCTGAAGATCTATTCTACCCTTGATCTTCACGGGGTGGAGACAAGCATGGGTAGCTGAAGACCTATTCTTACACGAATATTCACGGGGAGAGACAAGCATGGGTTGCTGCCGACCTATTCTACCCTGGATATTCACGGGGTGGAGACAAGCATGGGTTGCTGAATACCTTTCCTAACACGGATCTTCACGGGGTGGAGACAAGAATGGGTTCCTAAAGACCTATTCTGACACGAATGTTCTTGGGGAGACAATTATGGGTTGCTGAAGAACTATTCTTACACGGATATTCACGAGGAGAGACAAGCATGGGTTGCTGAAAACCTATTCTTACGCGGATCTTCACGAGGGGAGACAAGCATAGGTTGCTGATTACCTTTTCTAACCCGGATGTTCACGGTGGCAGACAAGCATGGGTTGCTGAAGACCTGTTTTTACACGGACGTTCACGGTGGCAGACAAGCATGGGTTCCTGAAGACCAATTATACCCCGGATCTTCACGGTGTGAGACAAGCATGGGTTGCTGAAGACCAATTATACCCCGGATCTTCACAGTGGGCGAGAACCATGGGTTGCTGAATACCTTTTCTAACCCGGATATTCACGGTGGGAGACAAGCACGGGTTACTGAAGACCTATTCTACCCCGGTTCTTCACGATGGGCGAGAACCATGGGTTGCTGAAAACCTTTTCTAACCCGGATATTCACGGTGGCAGACAAGCATGGGTTACTGAAGACCTATTCTTACACGGATGTTCACGGTGGGAGACAGACATGGGTTCCTGAAGACCTACTCTTACACGGATCTTC